AAATTCCCTTTCTGGGATTTGGCCAACTTTAGCGAAAAAGTGTAATCCTTTCGCGTCTTCTTTCGCGAAACTTTCGCGAAGCCTTCAAACTATCTCAAATGGTCGCCCCAGTATAAACCGAAGACAAGGACCTTTAGAACAACCCTCATATCAATAATGCGTACTTTGGGTCCAAAAGTCTACAAATGCTAGCGAATTTTGGGGGCATGCAGAATCCTAGAGGACTGCCACTATAAGCCAACTACAAACCACATGACCCCAAATCATAAATTTTTACTTTGCTTTCCATTCCTTCTTTCCCTCAGTAACCACCCTGAACTCTAAAGCCTCATCTCTAGACCCCAACATCCCTGAACCCCAGACCTTATCCCATAATTCCTTAATCCCAATCTAAGCCCTGCCCTTAAACCCTAAGTCCTAATTCTTAATCTAACTTCTTGAAGGTTGTAAGCTCTGGGGTAAGACGCGCAGGCTGCAGCACTTTGAGGTGCACACTTCACGCGCCGGCAGTCTACTACAGGTCATGCGCCCAGAAAAGAGCTGAAGAGTGCTCTAGGGCTTAGGGTATGGGTTTAAAGGTGAAGGGATGAGGCCATAGGTTTAGGGATTAGGGCTTCGAACGGCTTCGAGTTTGGGATTTTAGGAACTCGAATCGAGTTTATCATTGCAAGGTAAACCACGTCATCTACTGCGCATGGTAGCTTGGCTTGAGCATCTTAACAAGAACCTGGAACATCACGAAGCCCACCGTCTGAATGGAGCGACATCAGGGATATGTTCAATAAACAACCCTAGTCTCTGGGCGACCACCCTTGAGGAGTGCAAATAATGTAGTAGCCTCAACGCTTAGAAGTACCGTACATTCTACTTGGACAGTCTACGGCATTATGCAACGACAAGCATGCTACATAATATTGCCCCCCCCAGTAAGGTGCAGGTTGTCTTGCACATGCAGGAACGCTGGCCTGGTCTGGTTCTTAAATGGGGTTACCCTAAACCCTCAAACTCTAAAAGCGCTAAAAACTCTCGAAACCCTAAACCCTATAAAGCCCTGACTTCATAGTCCTCCTTGGGTGTGTCAGATACGGCACTCGAAACCATTGACTTAGTGTTCCACTTGGTGGGGGCATACAGGGAAACTCACCGCGGAGAATGTCTCGTGTTAACTTGTAGCCGTGAGTTCACGAACTCTGAAGTCATCAGCCCCTAGACCCCCCCAACTGACATAAAACCCCATATATCCTCATCAAAGGGCCATAGTCTCCAGCGGACCCTTTTTCAGATTCCACGTCAGTTTTCAGGAGGGTACTCTACTAGGGGCGCCCTAGTCATCTGAATGGGGTTTGTGGTTTAGGGTCTAGGGTTTGGTAGTAGAATTTCAATCGAATGATGTCGGGAAAATGCTTCTCATGATTAAAGGCTTCATGACTGGCAACATGCAAAGTCCGGCGCCCTGCGACTCATAGATTTAGCGAAAGTGGATTTTCTAATGGCAGGGTATAGGGTTTAGGGTCTAGGTTTGTCTTCAGGTAGGTTGACAAGGGTTGAGGGTTTAGGTTTTATTGTTGATGGAGGAAGGCCTTCACAAACAAATACCTGAAACACATCAACTGCCATGGTCTGGGTACTTGTAGTGGTACAAAATTTCCTGCGACAACAATATAAATGCGAAAAACAATATGGCCCCGGCAGTTCCAAACCCAAAACCCTAAAACCCCCTAAACCCGAAACCTCCACATCCAACACCCCTGAGCTCTCAGTTTCATGGAATTGCACATATCATAATTTCATTGGGTTCTTTGGGATTCTAGATTTGCGGGGACTTCCAGATACCCTTCCCACGAACTTCTGAAGCTCGCGCGTCGACATACTGGATTTCTGTAGTCTGAAGCCTGAAGCGTACACAACACTGTCCTGGAAAACCTCCTGAATTCCAAACACCCTAAACCCTAAACCCTAGTACCTGATTCTAGTCACACGAAAGCTGTAGGTTTCGAAAATTACTGAAGTGGGGGTGGCCTAAGCCCCTATTTCACAAACTTTGTTCTGATGTAACCTCAAAAGGCTAAACCCTGAAGTGTGTTGTAATTTTGGGGGGTATTATGGAAAATCGAAAAGAACATGGAAACTACTATTTAGGGTTTGAGGTTTAGGGTAAACTGTGTGATGCACACATCGTGCTTAGACCGCTGCCTTTTCAAGGCGCAACGCAACAAAAAAGAACGCAGTTGGTGGGTGCATGTAGCCACCGGTGTAGGACTGACTCTCTTGACACCCCGTGGCCTACTGTAATGTAAGGTTTAGGGTTTAGGTTGTAGAAGCCTGAACAATCCCAGGGTCCTCGCTTTCTTTAAGAATTCTCATAACTGACGTCAGACTCTAATTCGAGTCCAAACAAAGCCCAAACCCTAAACCCCCCAAACCCTGTACCCAACTATCAAGAAAACCCAACTGCCAGCAAGCCTTAAGAAGAGATTATAACTACAAATCACAGTTGGGTTCTGGACTGGGTTTAGGGTCTAAACCCTAAACCCTAAACCCTATAGATAGGGTTTTGGGGATTGGCCTGCGTACTCCTTGCACCTTGAGGCTTTGTACAGCCAAGAGCATGAAGCTCCCTGCAGTTTAAGGGTTTAGGGTTTAGGGTTTTAGGGTTTAGGGTTTTAAGGTTTAGGGTTTAGGGTTTGTGAAGCAACTTAATTTAGGTTACTCCATGAAGGAACCTTCTTAATTACTGTATATACCCATCATGGTAACTTAGCTCAAGTTCCTTAACAGCAACCCGCTTTAGGGTTGGGGCTTCAGGGCTTAATGCTGAGGGTTATAGGTGAGGATCTCGCGGCCAACTAGGTGTATGGTTGAGGGCTGTCCTACTTCTAGCTCTTGTTTAATAGACAACAAGGATCAGGGACATGTGCATATCTCCAGGGCTTTCGAATGTAAATAAGCCACAACTCTCAAGATAATGCAACCATAAACAATGGGAGCTGTACGAAGCCCGTTGTTAACCTACCCAGACACAACCTTTCAATTGACCAAGGCAATCCGTAAGACCCTAGCCCCTCAAACCCGAAATCACACCTGAACCCCAGACCCCAAACGCTGAGCTGACAATGTCATAGTAGTTCCCATGTTCTTTGCATTCCCCCTGGTGGGCCCTAAAGATTATAGTGGTCTCCTTTCTGCAAATTCAGCAAATCCTAACCCTTAAACCCTAAATCCTAAACACTAGACCTTTTGGGAAATTCCTTTTAGGAAGCCACAGCGGAATTCAGATGCCATCAGGCTTGTCAGCCAGTGAAGCGACTGATGCTGTTGAACCTTGCGGCTTCGTGTTCTCCATGGCTTCTACGTATACACGTCTGGAGGCGTCAGATTCGTGATCTAGAGCTTTAGGGTTAGGGTTTGGGGCTTAGTATATAAAGCTCAATTTGAAGATTGTAGGAGTTCCAAGCTGTAGACCGCTGCTCTTCCAGAACTCTCTTTATTAAAGCACCTGCACCTCGAGCGCAGGGGATTCCCAAAACCCTAAACCTTAAACCCTAAGCCGTAAGGCCTAAACCCTAAACCCTCAACCCAAAACCCAAAACCCTAAGCCCTAAACCCTAAGCCCTAAACCCTTAACCCTAAACTCTAAACTCTAAACCCTCAACCCAAAACCCTAAACCATAAGCCCTAAACCCTAAGCACTAGACCCTAACCCTAAGCCCAAACCCCTAAACACTAAGCCCAAAACCCTAAACCCCAAACCCTAAACCAGGCGGCTGGCACTTCAGACTTCGGAACTGGAATGTATCGTAGGTCAGGGTTTAGGGCTCAGGATTGTTTCTTTTTGGGGGGTGGATTCATGGGCTCCCTACCTGAACCCAAAAGGTATGATACAGTAATGGCCTTTTGGGCTATTTTGAAGGACTTTGAGCTACAACTTTACCTACTTTCGAGGTTTAGGTACTACCAAGCTCCCCCTTAATTAGCCTCGATCGCTCATTATTTCAAAGTCATCATAGTTAAGGGGGGGGGTATATTCGGTGTGTAGTAAGGGAATGCACTGACTAAGGTAAGGCTTGGTTTTAGGGTGTCTCCTGTTCCAAGCCTACATAAGTGTCCAGCCTCATGTTACGAGACCTCAGGGACATTCTGGGAGGCTTGACGGTTTCGGGTCCACTCAAGACAGCTGAAAGTACATTAAACCCTAAACCCTGAAAACGAAGCTTCCATTTTCTTTCCATGATCCCTAAATAACCACATATACTGTAATATAATATGATATGATATAGTGTACTATAGTACACTCTCTAATGAAGCGGGAGGTGCTTTCATTCTCGAACAAAATCCGCAGTGCTCCGATATCGAACTTTGTGGTTACCCCCGCCACATCATGCTGACCTCTACAAGACAAGGAGTTGCACTCTAGTGCCACTCCCTGATCATAAGGGCCTATTATGCCAAGCCCTAAGTTACTTCAATCTCCATATATTTGCACCATAGATCCTTGCAAGCGCTTCTACAAACTGAAGAATCTCCCAAGCTCCTGCGGAGTAGCCATTCGCAGGGTCATTGCGTGATCGCAGCAAGTGCAGGACCTGTCAACAAATTGTCGCACAACGGAGCCTGTGGAGTAGAGTCAGTAGAGTATCCGTGCCATCATAGTCCAGTCAGAGTGGTTTAGAGCTTCGTTCGAATGTACAGAGGTGAACGTGTAACTTACTGGTGCTCAAGGTGTAGCAAGTAAGATTGCAAACCCCGAACCCTAAACCTCAAACCCAATACCCTAAACCCCAAACCCCAAGCCCTAAACCCCAAACCCAAAACCCAAAGCCCGAAACCCCAAGCCGTAAACCCCAAACCGTAAATCCCCAACTCTAAACCCTAAACCCCCAGCGCTAAGCCCTAGGGATGTTTCTCGGGTTAAAAACCACAGGCTGATGGGTTTAGGGCTTGAGGGTTTAGGGGGTTATGGTTCGGGGTTTAGGGTTTAGGGGTTTACCGGGTTAGGGGTTCAGGGGGCTATGGTTAGGGGCTTAGGGTTGGGAGCTTAGGCGAGAGGATCCATTGGTCTTATACTATACTTGGAGGGTCAGGGGGGCATGAAGAAAATGGAAACTACTACGAATTGTTATATCGGATGGTTTAGGGTCTTCAGGCTTACTTCGAGGGTGAGGGAGACGTCGTAAGTAGGTCAATTACTCTATAAACCACAGAAAAACCATATTTATCCCCCTTACTAAACTACTCACGAAGTCCCCATGACGGTTGTTTTGGACGCTTGAGGTTGGAGTCTACTGCTGAACGCATGCTCCTTTTCTGCGCGTGCATGAAGATAGGATCTCATGTTTTGGGTTCATCTGACAGTACTTCCAGATGATGACTCCGATTTTACAGAGTTTGGCGTTGGGCTGCGGCTTAATCGCCCCCCAAAACGTCAGCTAACATTGTGACTGTGGAGCAGATGTGGAAGGTTATAACCTATAGATTGGGTACTGGCCCCCCTCAGTAACGGTTGGATAATATTTTCAGTATGGTTATATATAGCCCTCAATGGGACCCCTGATATAAACCGTTACTAGGGGGGGGCAGTACCCAAGTTATAACCTATAGAGAGAAGCATTCCTAAGCATTCCTCCACCCCTGGCTCTAGCAAAACTGTAGCGGTTCTGGGAGGGCCGAGGCAACGCAACCTCAACTGACCTGGTGGCTATCGAGAAGGTACGTCAGGGCCCCAACATGCATGCCCAAATAAGGAAGATCATACTGAGAGGTTTAGGGTTTATAGGGTTAGGGGCTTAGGGTTACTGATGCAATATGGGTGGTTGTCAAAATGATGGTCCCTTTTTGGGTATCCTAAATTTTAGGGGCCGTATTATAATAGGGACCCAAAAAGGGACCATAATTTTGACAACCAACCATATCTTTAATATCCCGCAACCCATAGTTTGCGGCCCCTGCGGATGGAAAATGTTCTGTCATCCCAAACCCAAACCCTTAGCCTGAGCCCCGGTTGAGCCGGCCAAATGAGCCATGGTCTAAACTCCTAGTATCCCCCTTAAAAACCCTATAGTAGCCCCCTATGTA